GGTGCCTGGCTGACTCGCCTCCGGGGCTGTTGTGAGGACCAAACAATCAGCCCCGTGATAGTGCTCTGAGAATCTAGGGCTGGTGACGATGACGATGGCTCTGCAGGGGGCGAGTGTGGGGGGGTAATCAGTGCCCTTCCCCTGCCCTCCGCTCGGCTCTCTGCAGGGGTGGAAGATGGTACCGGTCAACCCTGAGCCGGACGGGGAGCCCGCAGCCACCGCCATCGCGAGATGGAGGAGCCCACGCCCGAGCCCGTCTACGTGGACGTGGACAAAGGGCTGACCTTGGCCTGCTTCGTCTTCCTCTGCCTCTTCCTGGTCGTCATGATCATCCGCTGCGCCAAGGTCATCATGGACCCTTACAGCGCCATCCCCACGTCCACCTGGGAGGAGCAGCACCTGGACGACTGAGGCGCGGGGCAGGGCTGCCCCTGGCCACCGGCCTGCCAGCCCACAGAGACCAGCAATGGACGCAGCCCGTGGGGATGGAGAGTGTCCACCTGAGCCTTGCCTGCTGTCACAGCAGCACCCGAGTGACACGCTCGCAGTGCTGTGGGTTTTCCAACCGTGGGCCGGCCTGGGAATCACTGACCGGGGTGTGGTCACCTTCCCTGGCTCTGGCACAGACACCTCCATCACACGACGGCAGTCTCCTTTTGAGGGGACCTTCTGCCCTTGAAATGCAGACTAGCACACGCAGTGGGACTCGCAGCACAGATGTCCCACCCAAACGCAAGGCCCCTCCCAACGGGCCGCCGGCACAGAAGGCGGCAGGGCGTGAAAGGAGATGGCAGGGAACTCAGAAAAGGTGCAGAGGCTGCCTCCCAGCCGCATTTTTAAAAAACTAAAATAGAGAGGGACATATTTTTCCTGTTATAAATGAAATGTGCATTTTAGAAATTTGGGAAAATACGGAAAAAAAATAGAAGGAAAAGGCGGTAAAAGAACACTTCTACTCCCGCCCCCCAGAAGTCCGCATTGTGAAACGCTTTCTCCCAGCCTTTTTCACACACATTTTTTTAGACAGTCAAATCCACGCCGCACGCATGATGCTGTGTCATCCATGTTACACGGATATGCCCCCCCCACCGCCCAGACGCTCTCCACGGCTGTGGTCTCTGGTGGCGGCAGAGAATCCCAACAGGTGGCTAGGTCCTAGTTTAACAGTCAGTTCCTCTGGTCACACATACTAATCTTGCTAATCTTTCCTCACACAAAATGATCTCCTCCAGGACCCTCATGAGCGTGCACAGGCTCCGACGTGAGCATCGGGCGGGGAGACCGGGTGCTGGTCCTGCCC